CTCTTAAGGCCAAATAAAAAAATAAAAATATTTCTGCTAATATTATTATATATTTATATTTCACTCTTTAAAAAAGTTTCAGTTGTATTCTGTTTCTGTTCCTCTGTTTTAATTTTCAATTCTCTGTTGTTTGGCAATAATTAGCTAATCATTTCATGTGGTTGCAGTTTCAGTGGCATCGCTGGAACTGCTCGTCACTGAGCACAAAGAGCCGCAATCCGCACGCCTCCAATCTGCTGAAGAAAGGTAAGTGGTGAGGTGAGTCGGAGTTGGAGTTGGAGCTGGGCCCAGTTGCCCAGCTGGCCAAGTAGCCAGTGGCCCGGTCCCACCGAAAGCCATTAAGCTGACACTAAAATGCGCCGTAAGTGTGGCTCAGCTTTCACGCAAACAAAATCGCTTTACGAGCAGCAAACGACAACGAAAACGACAAACTGTCAACGGGTTTGCGGTTATGCATAGAGCAACGGCCCACACGCAAACCGCTAGGCTGCAGCAAGAGTGCTGCAATCGGGTATGCTCAACTGCAGATACTTCTTGTGTGTTATTCTTTAGCTCTATGTCATTTAACTGCTTCACAATGATTCATTCCGACTGCTTCATTCAATATACCCCTTTTGATTTCATTATGTGAATGGAGTCTAATTAAAAGTGCCCAGCAATAGGCCCTGGTCCAGTGTCCGATGCTATTAGCCATCGCATTATTAGACACGCCATGGCACAAAACCACAGCAGGCGAAGCTGGCGCTGTAGCTGGAGCTGGAGCCGAGGCTGGCTCTCTGGCTGTCTAATGCCTCGGGCCCAGTTGGTCAGCCGCAGCGAAGCTAGATCATGTTTCTAAGTTCTGCAGCTAGTAAGAGTGTTGCCCGAGGCCTGTTCTGGCGCACCTTTTGTCACAGCCTAGTGCATCCCAGCAGCGGCAGTGCGAACTTTGACTTTGATATCTTAATCTGTCGGCCAGGCATTATATTTCACACACACGCACACACACACACACACTCGGACGGCCACGGCGTGTGCCTTATGATCATGTTGATCATGATGATATTTAACTGGCCATCTACAAAGTGTCGCCGCTTTCTTAGCCGCTTTTGTTAGCCAAGTAGCAAATAGCGGTAACCGTATGATCACAAGCGCCGATCTCAAAGCTGCAACTGTATCAGCGACGACTACTGTTATGACTCACAGCGATAGCTTCTCAGGTTCACTTGCCAACCGAAAATGCCCTGAAATAAATAATAATTGTACCATATAATTAATGAAATTTACCTTGATTTACAGTTTCACAGATCTTTAGCAAGTCTCTTTAGACCGACAAACTCTAACTAATGACCCAGGGTGGCAATCAGGCTAGTTACTTGGAAAATCCTCTTGCTTGCCTTGAAGGAATGCTTTAACTGCGTTCCCAAGCGCTTCATTAGCTAAATTATGCGTCATACAATTGCTGTAAGCACAGGCCGAGTCCAAGACAATGGGGCGAATGGTCAGTGGCCAAAATGGCGGCATGCAATGCAGATGCAAACGATATACTTCCAGTAGCAATGCTGCAAAGATTTCTCACAAATTTCAATGCAGCCACAGCGAAAAAAAAAAAAATAAAAAAATGAAAAAAACAAAATAAAAAAAAAAAAAAAAAAAAACAACAAAAGTAAGAGACAAGCAATAACAAGAGTGGCCTGGGAGACTGTCGAGTAAAAGGGAAAGGCTCGCGGCCAAGTCGAGTGGAGACGACTCGAGTTGACTCGAGTCCGGCGTAATTTATTTGCATTCATCGTATAAATTATATTGTAAGCAAACCACTTCATTCAATTTCAATTTAAAAAATTGTTATCTCTGTTGACGGATGCTGCCGCGGCCACTGACAACGTACAGCCCAGCGACAGCCAGACATTTCAGCAGAGACAAACGAACGAGCCAGCGAGCCAGCGAGCCACCGAACGTGGACGTGAATCTGGATGGGGCTGAGCTGGCTCAGCTCTCGATCTGCATGTGAATTTCGGTAATGGCCAAGGCTGAGCTAAGCAGACGCCAATCGCAGCAAATTATGGGCGATCAATTAGTCTGTATAAGGACTGAGTATAGAATATTATTAGAATTGCTTATGGCTGTAGAAATGTTGATATAGAAGAGTAGCTTGGAATACCATAACATCCAGCTTATTCTAAAAAAGTTCTGTTACAAAGTGATAGACATATTATTGAAAAAAGCATTTAGTAAAAATTCAATAAAAATAAATGCAGCATTATTAGAAAAATATTTGAAATATATATAAAAATATATAGCTAATATAAATGAATGCGTAAAATAAAAATAAATTTATGTAGGAAAATTACTTTAAGAGTTTGAGAGATAGGCCACACTTAAAGACCTTGAAACAATTATAGATCTGCAGGTATTTAGCAGCTCTTCTGTTAAATCTATTTTTAGACAATTTCCTCTTTATACAGAATAACTATATATATTTTAATAATATTACAAAATAATATTATAAAATAATCATGTTAACTTACAAAAAAGAAACATAACATAATTCCTAGATAAGTTCACTGAAGCAGATCTGAAAACTGACGCAAGGCAACCTATAAGCTATCTGAAAAGCTTTGCTCTAATAGATATATTCAAGCGTAAGCAATTCAATTCAACTCAATTCAATTCTCAAATGAATAATCTTAAAACAAAAAAATTCTATTAAAATCCATATCAGAGATTACCGATAAAGAAAAATACATAGGCTAGAATGTTCAGTTCTGTGTAGAATCAATTTACTGGGTTTAGGTTTGCCTTTAGCTGGTATTGTGGCAATTGTGGATTTAGTAATTCCGACAAAGCCAGAACAATGTCATTACAGCATATCTACATATAATTTGCATTTAGCCATAATCTTGGGACTGGCATCAAGTGCACGCAAACTTGATCGGGCCAAATACCAAAATGAGTCGGGTTAAAGTTAACAACACTGCCCAATATAACAATGCCGAACCATAAATCTCCAAATGCATGCCACACCAGCAGCAGCAGCAGCAGCAGCAGCGGCGGCAGCAGCAGCAGCAGCAGTTGGAGAAGCCAGAGCAGCACTTCCAAGTAACTCTCGACTAGCCTTCAACGGGGCGCGCAGCGTACGAATATGGTAAACCCAAGCTTATGTCAGTGACATGTCTGCCGATCTGGCCGTCTGTCTGTCCGCTCGTCTGGCTGTCTGTTTGTCAAGCCGCCCGTTCGTGTGTCCATTAAATAAGGAAGGAAACACCGAACTGAACTGCACATAACGAGAGTCAATATTGACAGGCAACAGCAACGCGTGCAACGATTGCGACTGGGAGACTTATAAGGGCAGAGCAGCCACAGTCCAGCCAGCCAGCCAGCCACACAGCCAGCCAGGCAGCCAAGCAAGCGAGCGAGCAACCTGAGCAGCCCCAAAACAGCGAGGGATCGACGACGACGACGACGATCGGCCAAGTGAAACGAAACAAATCAAGTCGGAGAGGCACAATGACTGACAATCGAACGGCGCACGGACAGGTCAACTATTTTGCATACATCTACTATAACTTATGGAACTGGTCGCCCGTTGATCGTCGTCGCAGATCGCAGATCGCTGCTGCTGCTGCTGCTGCTGCTGCTGCTGCTGCTACTTCGCCATGCATTATTGTCAATCAAGTGAGGCTGGACTTGGGAACTGGGCAGTGGGGCTGGGCTGGGACTATAGCGGCAGCAGGCATGTACAAAAGTAGTAAAAGGATTACGTACGATCGTCGACGACGATCGACCTTTATCTTGGTCTCGGTTCAGCCAAATGCATGTGACAACAAGCGAGCGACGTATGTCGCAAACAATTACTTGGGATTGCAACATAAGAGACAGAGACAGAGGCAGAGGCAGAGGCAGAGCGAGGGGGCAAGGAGCAGGGACAGGTACAGGGACAGGTCGCTGTTGTTGGGGACAGTGGCGAGAGGGAGGGAGAAAGGGAGGTGGAGATCGGCTGGTCGCCTGGCTCGATCGGTTGCCAATTTATGCGCAGTAAGAAGCACGTCACTGGCCCCAAGGCATTGTCAAATGTAACTCGCTGGCAATGATGTGATTTGGATTTGCAAATGGCCTGGGGGGAGAAACAAAGCGTGCATAAATCAAGAGCCAATCGACCGAGCCAAACGATCAACGATCAACGATCACCGATCACACAGATCACAGATCGCGAAAAATGCAATCGACGGGCAAGAGGGGTAGAGAGTGCGAGAGCTGCTAGGCTGCTGTGGCTACTGTGCGCATTGATGCATTGATTGATGGCGTCTTAATCGTCAATCAAATGCGCGCTACACTTTTGCATTACACCATTGACATTGGCTGGCTCGCTGAATCGCTGGATCGCTGGATCGCTGGATCACTGTCGATCGTTCGATCATCCGTTCGATTGCATTGGCTGTAGAACAACGACAACTTGTCACAACATTGACATTTGCATTCGTGCGCATCCTGAGTGACGGACTCTTGACTTTCGTTGCCATCGGACAGCTTGACCATCTCTGACTGATTGTTTGACAGCTTTTGGCCCCTGCCCGGCCAGCTACCAGTTAGCAGTTAGCATCTTCTTGATGCACGCCTGTCACATTGACATATGTACTGTCGCCGGCGCATTGGATTTGCTCTTGGGGCTTTTGCCTGTCTTATGCAAAGTGGCGCTGACAATTTGCATGTCAATCGATTGACAAATGTTGCCAACTTTGGTCCGCTCAATGACGGCCGGTGCATGTCGGTCATGATTAACGTCAGTTTTGACAGCCGTTTGACAGCCGTTGCATAAGCCGTCAACTAGCCGACTGGGTGGGTGTGCTCTGTGACTGTGGGGCTGGCCTTTGCTGTGCCCACAATTTTGCATCATTAAAACTTGTGCGGATCGATCGCCGGCATCAGTTGAATCGCCCATGGCTTTGGGTGGCGGCATTTGGGGCTTGGCGGCGGCAGTGCCCGAACGCTTGTCCGGCCCATGTCAAAGCCAAATGCCGCACAATTCCCTTGGCGATCGCAAAGACAGCGACAACAACTGCTTGGGCATTCAGTGTTAAAAATAACGCCGCATAACTTAGTTGGCGATAGTTTGCCGTGACTCCCCAGTGGCACCCAGTCCACTCTCGACTCATTCTTCAATTCGAATTGCCCAGCACAAGCTGAACGTTTCATCTGCTTCGCAGGCTATCGGGAGAGCGCATTTGCCTTTGCCATTTCGGCGGCTGGCGTTGCTCATAGTGTGGCGCGCGCCTGCAGCCAAGGACGTCTGATGTCCTGCGGCTGTGATCCGACCATCAATCGCAAGACGCTCAACAAGAATCTGCGCCAGTCCCTCGACAAGGAGAAGAAGCAATTTCTGCAATATCTGGAAACAAACCAGATCCTAACGCCCGAGGAGGAGAAGACCTATGAGCGCTCCAAGATCGCGAGTCGCTGGAAATGGGGCGGCTGCTCCCACAACATGGACTTCGGTGTGGAGTACTCCAAGCTGTTTCTCGACTGTCGCGAAAAGGCCGGCGACATACAATCCAAAATCAATCTGCACAACAATCATGCGGGCCGAATGGTAAGCGAGAGGCGCAACTGAAAACTTTCTCAATATTTAAAAAAATTAAATCGAAAATTCCAAATAATTCCGCAACTTTCTTTTCAGGCCGTATCGAATAACATGGAATTTCGCTGCAAGTGCCATGGCATGTCCGGCAGTTGTCAGCTGAAGACGTGCTGGAAATCGGCGCCCGATTTTCATATTGTGGGCAAAGTACTGAAGCATCAGTTCCGCAAGGCCATTCTGGTCGATCAGTCCAATCTGGGCAATGGGGAGCCCATCGTTGTACTGAAGCGTTCGCGCAACAAGAAATCCAATGGCGGCGGCAACAGCGCTGGCAGCTCCACGGATCTGAGTGGCTCCGATGCGTCTGCCACGCGGACGGGCAGCGGCAGCCAAAGCGATCTGGACGCCGAGCAGAGCCCGCGCCAGACCAAAGCTGATAAGAACGCGGCGCGCATGGCCCGCAAGCTGGAGACGTCGCTCTTCTACTATCAGCGCTCGCCGAACTTCTGTGAGCGGGATCTGAGCGCAGATATTCAGGGTGAGTACTGGGATAGAAACTTGAAGTTGTTGGAGCTATTCATATACATATATATTACTAGCGTTCCGAGCTATCTTCGTATGGGGGACTTATGGATATGGATAGGTTTATTTTTATGAATTTTGTATTATTTATTAATTTGTATTTTATATAACAGAAATTACATTTTATTTGAATTCTTTTTATAATTTTTTAATTTTTGTAAATTACTTTACAATTTTTGATTTTTTAATTTTAATTTGTAATTTAAAATGTTTTTAAAAATGCATATTTAAAGAGCCTAACTAAAGAATTCCTGTAACAAATTTTCAGAATGTTTCAGGATTTTGAAAAACTCAAGAAATATAAACGAAAACTTATTGAATTATCTAAATTCTATGCTTCATTTTTTTTAATGATATACATCAACGTTTGTTTTTTTTTTTTTTTTTTTTTTTTTTTTTTTTTTTTTTTATACGTTCATCAGAAATAATGTGAAATTATAATGATAAAATAGGTTTTTAAAAAGTTCCAATAGTTTTAGAGTCTATTTAATACAAACAAACAATCACATCTTTTCTCTTTTAATAATAGTCTACAGAATTTCTCAGTCATATCATTACTCCATTTTTTTAATTCATTTAATAAATTCGATAAATAAATTGATAAGAGTAAATACCATTATAAACAGATTTCTAAAAAAAAAAAAAAAAAAAATAATAAATAAGAGAAAAATGTCAAAAATTCGGTCACACTCGGACAACAGGGTACTAATTAAAAATGATTTATTGACATTGCTTTGGCGATAAATTTGATTTGCCTCTAATAAATAAATCACAAATGCAAATTAACAGCAGCCGCGTAACAACAACAGCAACTGCACAAAAATATAAAAAAAAATAGCCATTTATTAACGGAGCTACCAAACATGCCACATAACTCAAAATGCGCCACGACAAAGTCGAGAGCTGCGCATGCGCTCGGCACGTACTCCCAGCCAACAAGCGGCAGCGACAACAATAACAAAAGCCAGGCAAATTTGCATGACTAGCAGATACTCTGGTCGAGGCGATAAGATGACCTAAGTAACTGCTATAGACTGTGGGTTGGACCCAACAAGAAATGCAGCAGACTTTGTAAAAGGTTTTTAGTTTAGGTTTTGGCTAATCTAATTAAATGAATTTAATTCTTGATTTTTTAAAGACAATAAATGGTAGTCTAAATAATTAATTAAATATTTAGATATTACTATTATATATAAAGAATACATCATAACATTAGTCTGATCATATTTATATTTGATCCTTATGTCTATAAGCTATAAAGTCTCTATCATATTATAAAAGTGGGAATACTTTTTCTTTCTGCCTGATAACTGAGATTTATGTATACGAATTCAAAGTCCTCTAAAAGAGGAAACAGTTAATACAGCTAGTAGTATACCCCATTGAACTACCTTCAATGGGTATGACTAACTGCCACTTGCAATTTTCGTTAGCCATTTTGTGGTTGCGGCCGTTGTTGCTGTTGTTGTTGTTGTTTCTGTTGCTGCCGTTGACACATTTGCAAATTATCAAAAGCGACGGCGACTGCGGGCCAGTTTAAAGTGTTAATTACGACGCAAATTTATAATTAATCGTTGCGGAGCGGTGGACTGGCGGGATGAGGCGGGCAGTGGAGCCGCGAGGAGCTGTGGGGCTGTGGAGCTTGGCTATCGACGTTGATTCGTACCGTTCAGTCCGTAGTCCGCCATGCTCATCGCGGCGCATTCAACAGGCGCTTGATTCATGTGCCGTGTCTGGCCAAATGATGGCAATTAACGTTGGCAATTAACATCTAACAATTATGATACTTTGCTTAGCTGTTGCAGCTAATTGTTTATTTATCGCCTTTTAATTGCCGCCATTTCAACAGTTACACTCGAGCACGAACGACAGTTTAACACTGTGAATAAAGCCCAAACTAGGCAGTGATTAATCGAGTCCTTTGCTTCATGCGATTAGCATATTGCAAATTGACATGATCAGATAGACTGAGGCGATTTAGCTGTCGAATAGATCAAGAGCTGAGATGTTCTCTAGAAGTCTCTAAAGAGTTGATTTTAAAATTTAGATTTAAAGGCCTTAACTCGATGCGAAATACAAATCTAACAGTTTTATTAATTAATTATTGAACAAAAAAATAAGTGAGATTATTATAAAATCCTTTGAAAAAAAAACTTATAACTTATAACTGAAATTTCATTAATATATCTATAAAGTAGACGAATTTATTTGTAGATTATTTACTGCGAGTCATTTGGGAAATTTCTAAGCACAGTCTTTAATATTTCAGGTACAATTGGTCGCAAATGCAATCGCAACAGCACGACCAGCGACAGCTGCGCCTCCCTCTGTTGTGGGCGTGGCCACAGTCAAGTGAAGGAACGACGCGCCGAACGCTGCCGCTGTAAATTCCAATGGTGCTGCAGCGTCGAGTGCGACGAGTGCCATGTGGAGGAGTGGATAAGTGTGTGCAATTAAAGGCCATGGCAACTGATAAAAGACTTTTCTTCAATGCAATTAGCCAACAGCAGCAGCTAAAATAAATGAAACAATGAAATTGAAAATGCTAACAGTATTAAAATACATTTAATTAACAAATACATATATAAAATACTCCAGATTGAATAGGACAACTATTGAAGAATTCATTGTGCGAGTGTGTGTATATTTTATGTTTAGCTTTAGCTGTCCATTCAATTCACTAATATTTGTAAATACAAATACATAATAAGATGCACGATTAGAAACTGTCCATCAGCTGACTTTTATTCAATACCCAATAATACATATCTCTCCCTCTCTCTCTCTCTCTCTCGTTCTCACTGTCCATCTCAATCACCCCATATTATGCACATTCGTATACCCGTTCTGGGTATAAAATGGAAAATCAGGGTATAATGGTTTTATGAAAAGTATGTAACAAGCAGAAAAAAATCATCACAGACCCCAAAAAGTGTATATATTGTTGATCAGGGCGACGAGCTGAGTCTATCATGCATTTTCGATAACTTACGATCGAGAATAATCGATAAATTGATTTCGTTTTTTCAGCCTAATTTGAATACTATTAGACCGGGAGATTTCAGATTCATTGTGTATAATGTAACAGCGCTTAGAGATTATTGCTTAGTCTATATCCTCTACGGATCATCTGATCAATTAATTTGTCCTTACTTAATATAAAAAAAAAATAATAATAATAATAAAAAAAAAAACGTCTTCAATTGCAGTTTTTTATTTTTATTTGTTTTTTCAAAATCGCTTATTTGGTATTACCCCTTGATAATACTTCCCGTTGTATTCAGAATACCTTCGTCAACCGAAAAATAAAAATCTGTTGACAATTGTTTTCGATGGTGATAGAACCAATCTAGTTTGACAAGATATTCTCCAGTTGGAAATGGAATTCCCAACTTTTCATACGGCATATGAAGTCCGCTAGCAATTAAGGGACCCTTAAATGAATAATTTGTATTATAATATGAATATGCAGTATATTTGAATCTCATACTCACATCAAAGGGGCAGGTGTGATTAAAGTTTGTGTAGTCCCGTATAGCTTTTACGAATAGTATAATTACTGGATTAAACGGCTTTTTGAGGAACCGGCAAATGTCTGCGGACGCATTATAAAGCCAGGGCTTATAGCCATTGGCTTTCTTCAGAAGCTGAGCTTCCATCGATATTTGATACGCTGGATATAACATGGTAGCATTAAAATTAAATACTGTCCTGTTACGACTTAATGCCTTCAGTCGACAAAGTTTTAGTTTGACCCAGCTTGCGTTGTGAACTCGACAGCGCGCATTTGTAAATTTAAGTTGCGCAGCATTCTATAGAAAAGACTTGTTGATTATCGAATAGTTACTTAGGATGAATGATGGATGTACTCACATTGGGATGCAATATTAAAACTAGGCACAGTTTGACTACCACAAGAATCACAAAAACTTTCCGCATTTCGACTCGTTCGTTTAGCTAATCGAAGCCAAATATCACATATACACTCCACGGTGGTAGCATACTACGTGCTATTAAAATCTTGACGGTGGCGATCATGCTTCTGGCCTCTTTAATGTAATACCAAATTCATTTCTAAACGTTCGATACGCTTGATGATCTGGTTAATAACACCCAATTAGTATTTTAATAGTAGTAGATTGGGATCATTTTGATTGGTTTCAACCAATGAATCGAATATTCATATTACGACTGAAGTGAAAATATATAGAGACTTCAGATGGGAGGCATGTGTATGTATGCGTGCATAAAATAAGTGCGGAATGATTAGCATATCAGCTTGGAGGGTTCAGGGTATCTCCTAGTCGAGCAGTCTCTTACTTGTCTTTAGCTGCACGTGAATGTCGCGCTGCCCGGGCTACTGAGCTACTAATTCAATTAGCTGGCTAAATAGTTGCCCAAGGTGCAAGCACTGAAAGGGGGCTGCTCTATGAATTGGAATTGGAATTGGAATAGGCAATTGGCTAAACGTGGTGCCTTGGTGTCGTTGCGGGGCTTCTTGGTCTCAGTAAAAAGCCGAAGAATCCGTTTGCACAACTTTCAGTTGAGTTTCTGCGGCGCTACGTGCTGCAAGCGTGCAGTCGATTCGGCAAATCCCTCTTGGAGCTTGGAGCAAAGAATACTTCCTTCATCAATTGTGGTGTGACACATAGAACTAACTCAAGTGAACAGGTTTGTTTCGTCAAGGACACTCACGTGCCCGAGCTGCAAAATGTGTTTTAGTCTAATGGGGGTTCATATGATGTAAGATGTCCAACCTATAGAGTCCTTAGGCATTGTGTGAATATCTACATCTAAGGTTATGGATACCGAGGGAATTCTAGTCAATGATTTCAGCAAACAGTATTTATATCATGGATAAAATAATACAAATTATATATAGCTCATTGGAAATTTCCAATGTTTAGTTGAGCTATACAACAGTTTTTGAATTATCCAAAATTTTCCCAATCATTCTGAATCTCTCCTCTCTGTCCGCTTATATAACTAGTGTTCCACTTGTGTTCAGAAGCCCTTCATGGGCAGTGTTATGCAACATTGAGGGGGTTAATGCAATTGACAGCGGCTAAAACGGGTGCAAGACTTTTCGTAAGTCATTGACTAAACACAGTAAATCCCTCTTCGCAAATGCAGTGTCCAGCGAGTTGTTCGGTTCAAGTAATTCAACATGTATTTACCGTACTCGCAATTGCCGGATCCGACCGACAAATTCGAGATCTACGAGGAGATTGCGCAGGGCGTCAATGCCAAGGTGTTTCGCGCCAAGGAATTGGACAATGATCGCATCGTTGCACTGAAGATACAGCACTATGATGAGGAGCACCAGGTGTCCATTGAGGAGGAGTATCGCACGCTGCGCGACTATTGCGCCCATCCCAATTTGCCCGAATTCTATGGCGTCTATAAGCTATCGAAGCCCAATGGACCCGATGAGATCTGGTTCGTCATGGAGGTTAGTTTCCGCCGGGCTATCCCAATAGCCATAGCCGGGCTAACCCTTCAACTCTTTACAGTACTGCGCCGGTGGCACCGCCGTGGACATGGTCAACAAGCTGCTCAAGCTGGACCGTCGCATGCGGGAGGAGCACATTGCGTACATTATCAGGGAAACCTGTCGCGCAGCCATCGAGCTGAATCGCAACCATGTGTTGCACCGCGACATACGTGGCGACAACATTCTATTGACCAAGAACGGACGCGTTAAGCTCTGTGACTTTGGCCTGTCGCGTCAGGTGGACTCGACGCTGGGCAAACGGGGCACCTGCATTGGGTCGCCCTGCTGGATGGCACCCGAGGTGGTGAAGGCCATGGAGGCCCGTGAGCCGGACATAACCGTGCGCGCCGATGTCTGGGCCCTGGGCATTACCACCATTGAGCTGGCCGACGGCAAGCCACCGTTTGCCGACATGCATCCCACACGGGCGATGTTCGCAATCGTGCGAAATCCGCCGCCCACCCTGACACGCCCCACCAACTGGTCGCAGCAAATCAATGACTTTATTGCCGAGTGCCTGGAGAAGAATGCCGAGAATCGTCCGATGATGGTGGAGATGGTGGAGCACCCGTTTCTCACCGAGCTCATCGAGAACGAAGATGAAATGCGCTCGGATCTGGCCGAGATGCTGGAGCTGGCAAGCGACGTGAAGACGCTGTACAAGGAGCCCGAACTGTTCGTGGATCGCGGCTATATTAAGCGCTTCGATGAGAAACCGGAACGCATGTATCCCGAGGACCTGGCAGGCATAGACAATCCAACGGACGAGAGCATACTCGACTCGCTGCGCAATCGCATGGAAATGGGCGAGTCCTACAGCTTCATTGGCGACATACTGCTCTCGCTGAACTCGAATGAGCTCAAGCAGGAGTTTAGCAATGATGTGAGTGTTCCAGCGTGTCCCATTTTAGATATACATATTATAAACATATTCCTCTTTTTCAGTTTCACGCCAAATACAAGTTCAAGTCGCGCTCGGAGAACCAGCCGCATATCTTTTCTGTGGCAGACATCGCCTATCAGGACATGCTGCACCACAAGGAGCCGCAGCACATTATCTTTTCCGGCGAGAGCTACTCGGGCAAGTCGACCAATGCCCGTCTGCTGATCAAGCATTTGTGCTATCTGGGCGACGGGAATCGGGGCGCCACAGGGCGCGTCGAAAGCTCCATTAAGGTCATACTGATGATGGTGAATGCCGGGACACCGGTTAACAACGACTCCACCCGCTGTGTGCTGCAGTATTGCCTGACCTTCGGCAAGACCGGCAAGATGAGTGGGGCCGTCTTCAACATGTACATGCTGGAGAAGCTGCGCGTGGCCACCACCGATGGCAGCCAGCACAACTTTCATATCTTCTACTATTTCTATGATTACATCAATCAACAGAATCAGCTGAAGGACTACAACCTGAAGGCCGATCGCAACTATCGCTATCTGCGCATACCCCCGGATGTGCCGCCATCGAAGCTCAAGTATCGTCGCGACGATCCCGAGGGCAACGTTGAGCGCTATCAGGAATTTGAGACCATTTTGCGCGACTTGGACTTCAATCACAAGCAGCTGGAGACGGTGAGAAAGGTGCTCGCCGCCATTCTCAATATCGGCAACATTCGCTTCCGTCAATCGGGCAAATACGCCGAGGTGGAGAATACCGACATTGTCTCTCGCATCGCCGAGCTGCTGCGGGTCGATGAGAAGAAGTTCATGTGGTCGCTGACCAACTTCATAATGGTAAAGGGCGGCATTGCCGAGCGGCGACAGTATACGACGGAGGAGGCACGCGATGCTCGGGATGCTGTCGCCTCCACTCTCTACTCGCGTCTGGTGGACTTTATCATCAATCGGATCAACATGAATATGTCCTTCCCACGTGCCGTCTTGTAAGTATGACCTCATGACAAGTGACAAGTGTCTGATCGTTAATCCGATGACCCTCTGTACAGTGGTGATACGAATGCCATCATCGTCCACGATATGTTCGGCTTTGAGTGCTTCCATCGCAATGGCCTGGAGCAGCTCATCATCAACACGCTGAACGAGCAAATGCAGTACCACTACAATCAGCGCATCTTCATTAGCGAAATGCTGGAAATGGAGGCCGAGGACATCGATACCATCAATCTGAACTTTTATGACAACAAGACGGCTCTAGACAATCTGCTGACCAAGCCCGATGGACTGTTCTATATCATAGACGATGCATCACGCTCCTGTCAGGATCAGGATTTGATTATGGGTAGACCTGGAGCTTAGTCTGTTGACCCTACATGATATTATTTTCCCACGCTTTACTTGTTACAGATAGTGGGTAGATTCAAATCTTAAGCCCTCTGGAATAGTTTTCTTATATACTTTTCTCCTACTCTACAGTAGATCAACATCTTATTCTGTTGAATAATTCATTAGTAGACCCCGAGATTTACTTTATTTCCTTGACTTCCTTCAGTCTAGGTGTACTTATTTCATTTCGCTACGCTTTGGTTCCTTATACTTTTCTCCCTTCAGCCCTTATGATATAATTTGACTACTCACGGCCTCCTCTGGTTCTTTAAGATCGCGTTTCGGAAAAGCACAGCCAGTTCGTGAAGAAGCACACTGCCACAGAGCTATCCGTGGCCCATTATACGGGCCGCATCATTTACGATACGCGCGCATTCACTGACATCAATCGGGACTTTGTGCCGCCGGAGATGATCGAAACGTTCCGCTCCTCGCTGGACGAGAGCGTCATGCTCATGTTTACCAATCAGTTAACCAAAGCCGGCAATCTGACCATGCCCTTTGAGGCCATACAGCATAAGGACGAGAGTGAGCGCAGATCATACGTGAGTTGCATACAATCGTAGACCGTAGACCATACGTAGACCCAACTCTCACTACACTCATTTGTTGCTCTTTAAGACTCTAAACACGCTCAGCGCTGGCTGCATCTCGCAAGTGAACAATCTGCGCACCATGGCCGCCAATTTCCGTTTCACCTGCCTGACCCTGCTCAAAATGCTCAGCCAGAACGCGAACCTGGGCGTGCACTTTGTGCGCTGCATTCGCGCCGATCTGGAGTACAAGCCGCGTGCCTTCCACTCGGACGTTGTGCAGCAACAGATGAAGGCGCTGGGCATTCTCGACACGGTCGTGGCGCGACAACGTGGCTACTCCACACGCTTGCCCTTCGAGGAGTTCCTCAAACGGTAGGCAGCGGCACAGCCATATCTTCATCCAGTCTGATCGTCTTTGCATCCCACTTCAGATATCAGTTTTTGGCCTTTGACTTTGATGAGACGGTTGAGATGACCAAAGACAATTGTCGTCTGCTGTTCTTGCGCCTCAAGATGGAGGGCTGGGCACTGGGCAAGACCAAGGTCTTTTTGCGCTACTACAACGATGAGTATCTGGCCAGGTGAGCTACGCTGTCAAATCGACAAACTCTAATGAGCACACTAAACTGTTATCATCATCGCCAGGCAATACGAGCTGCAGGTGAAAAAGGTCATCAAGGTGCAGTCGATGATGCGTGCCCTGCTCGCACGCAAGCGCGTCAAGGGCGGCAAGGTCTTCAAATGTAAGTGGCGCCATCTAAGGCAATGCTCATCTCTGTCCCTCCCTAACTCTGTCTCTGTCTCTATCACACAGTGGGCAAGAAGGGACCCGGCCAGCATGACGAGGCCGCCAGCAAAATACAAAAAGGTAAAAGAACTCAAGTTGATAAGCTTAAAGATTACGATGAGGAAAATATCGACATAAGTGAGACACCATCGGAGGCCGATGAACTGTTTCTGGAAGCGCGTAAGGACGAGGCTCTCGCCGCCGTGCGCATCTCCAAAATCGAACAGGCCTCGGTCGACGAATAGATCTCGCACTATTTTTACATAACCAAATGCAATGCCCGTGTGGGCGCGTATACTACTAATTCGTGGGGGGTAGCACTACCGATATACCACATACCAAATACTACATACATACTACTGCAACTACAGCATGCATAATAAAATATCAAACTAACCAAGCCGCAAGTTTGCATTAGTGGTTAGGGTCTCTGGCTGGTCGATGTACCCACACACAACTTAAGCCGCTTAGGAGGGTGTCTACCTACATATATATACATCTATCCAGGTGTCCACCCACCTTTGGTGATGCAACCAATCGGCTTAGTGGGACGTGGCCTACAGAGACAGATGAATTATAAGTGTTGCATAGAAAATAAATGAAAATTTAATTAAATTAAGGTG